AGCCGGTACTTGTGCTTGGGATTGCACATTGCATTGTTCCCCCAACTTCCAGGCCACACAGAATTGTTGAAACTGTGGTATAAAAAGTGGTATTCTAAGAATGGTTCTTTATTGTTGGGGAATACTTTTGGAGTGTATGTTTCCCATTTTTATTTCCAGTATTTTGCTTTAAAGGTTGAAAAGCTTTAGGAATGAAATCTATTGCGTACATTACTCTGCAGAGTACACTCATTCAGCTGACAGTTGCTTTGCACTTTCAGGATATTTCCAAATTCCATGCTTTGTCACAAAGTTAATTGGTAATTATCTGTGTAATAAAATTAGACTCTAGAACTTGTTCAGATGGTTTGTCCACAGCAGAATTCTGAATCTCTGTTCCGCTTGGTATTTTTTTTCCACAGCTCTTACTTCAATTCATTAGGCAAGAGAGAACTAAATGGTTTGTTGCAATTGAACAAATACTATTACTCTCTAGAAAAAAAGGAGAGAGGATTTAAATTGAAAGTGGGGAGCTTTAGATTAGATATTGGGAAGAAGTTCATCATGGACAGGGTGGTGAGGCACAGGAACAGGTTGCCCAGAGAAGCTGTGGATGCCCCATCCCTGGAAGTGTTCAAGGCCAGGCTGGATGAGGCTTTGAGCAACCTGGTCTAGTGGAAGGTGTCCCTGCCCATGGCAGGGGGTTGGAACTAGATGATCTTTAAGGTCCCTTCCAACCCAAATTATTCTATGATTCTACGATTTTCAGCCTACCTAATGAAAAATAGATGAGTATTGTTGTGGGCTTTGCTGTTTTTTTCTCTGTTGTGTCCTGATTTGTTTTCCTACATTCTTAAGTAACTAAGCCTTAGCCTCGAATTGTGACAGTCCAAGATAAGGGTGCTATATTTCTTTGGGTATAGAATGTGCCTAGAAGCAGTATAAAATCTAAAACAATAAAGAAATAATTGGAAATTTCAAGGCTGATGCTACAAATTCTTTGCAAGAGTCAAATATAAAATGTGTTTAACTGCAGAGTTGAGCAAACCCAATATGCAACAGCAAGAGCCAGTCATACAACTTTCAATGTGCTAAATAGGTCACCAGCATGTGTAGAAGTTTAACATATTGATAAAGTTGTGGTTTTTATATATTTGGCACTCTTGGACCTACAGTTGAATATACTTTTATGTCTGATCTTTGTTTTCATTTGTTAAAATTCTTCCATTAAAATTTTTTATTAGGAAAAAAACCCCATGGCAACATTGTTGTTCAGTTTTTAAATAAAGGCATACCAGGAAATTTATAGCTCCAATCCTGACTGTAACTATAACACCCTCATGTATGCCATCAAAAATGTTATGTGCAAAATGGCTTTCTTTGTGCCAAAGCTATTTCTGTTGCGATTCTAGTGACTTTATAGCACGTATTTAATAACTGTAAATCAATAAATAGTGCAAATGTTGGAAGCTTTTTTCATAACGTTACATCAGATTTCTTCTTTTCCTTCTCTAACTTAATAAATCCAATCTTCATGTTCTGAAAGTCATAAATAGAGCCTGGTGGCATAATTATTCCAGAATAGTGAACCAACTATTCTGAAATAATAGTTGAAAATAATGCTGTAATCTCACTGAATTTGATTTTTCTATTACGATTTTAAAATTTGTTTTACTGTCTTTAACATCTATCTGAGTGCATGATTCACTTTTAACATGCTTTGTTATAGCTAAATGTACATTCTTCATTCAAAGCTAGAATGTATGGATTGATGACAACTCTTAGGTGCTCTAATAATATGAAGAATGCTTATGAAGAGTGACTGTCGTGTCATACAACATTAAAATAAAATGACTTGGAAACTCATAGTCTCTGGTGAACAGGACTGTTGCTAGTAGTTTCTAACTGGTCATTTTACTATGAAGTTACTATTTTGAATTAAGAATATCTTGTTGGAAATAAACACTAAAGAAAGTAAGTTTTTGTTATGTTAACTTGTCAGGTTATCAACTCTGATTCAAATTGGATCACATGGAAATTAATACATCTGTTGCTGAGAAGTATGCTGAAGTTTTAGAATTTTCAAAGACTTTGCTGCTCAGCTGCTGGACTCTTTCATACAGAAAATTGCAATAGTCCTTTTGCATAGATATGAATGTAGGGCTAACTGGAAGTTATATTATACATTTTTGCAATGTGTTTGCTATTTGTATACATTAAAAAGTAATCTGAGAGTTGGCCTTTATTCTTAATTACTTTGAGTCCAACAAAACAAATAAAGTTCATAAAAATGAGTGTCATGAGCTCATTATTTATGAGAAAGACCACAAAGCAGACATCAATGCGTAAGTTGCATACATTTTGTATTTTGCTTTATTTGGATGAAGGTCATCTGTTGCAAGATTTAAATGGGAAACAAACACTAAGTAGACCTTCATCCAAATAAAGCAAAAAATCTCACAAATTGAGAAATATATTTATTCTTTTCTCAATTTTATAATACATGAGGCACTTCGTGAGGGCAGACCTAGTTGCTTAGTCTGCATGGGGGTTGTGTTCGTGGTGGCACTGAAGCTGTCATCAGTAAGGAAAGCAGGTCACTGCAGGGAGGGCTGATGTCACCTCCAGGGATTGATGCTCAAACAGGGAAACGAGCAGCAGAGCTATCAAAATACCTACAAAATAATGATCCTCCTTGTCCTGCAGGTATTTCATTTTTATATAGGGTGTCTTGAGAATTGAAAAAGAAATTGGAAGAGGAATGCAGATACAGGGAACAAAAATGAAACATTCTTTTTACATCATGCTGCAGTTTCTGTTTTCTGTGAAGTCTCTGTTTATACAAATATGTGCTGCCAAAAGGCTCGGTTTAGTGGGAAGTTTGTTTAGGTTCAGAGGAAAGTATTGCACATTTCTTGAAGTACAACTGTCAGGGAAAAGGTTGACTTCTGGCTGTTTAAACGATTGACTTTAATTACATTTTGAGAAGTCCACATGCTGAAAACAGCTGCAGTAATTCTTACACTGTCCTGTGCCCTGTGAGCAGAGTCGATTTCCTGCAGATGTGAAGTCGGACCTGGTAATGACAGATTAAACACATCATTGGTTTTTTGGTTTGTTAGTCTGGGTTGGGGTTTTTTTGTACCTACTCCACCATCTTGGAATTCTCATCTACTTGACATTTTTAGCACTGAAAATGAAAAAAAGACATGGTTGTTATGGGTTTCCTTGCTTGTACTTAACTTTTAAATAATCACATTTTCTGTATTTCTGTTTTTGTTGATGGTTAGCTTTTAGGGTAAAACCAAAACTGTCATAACTTGAAGGAGTAAGGCAGGCTTACTTAAGTTTGGGCTTCAGCTGAATGCAGAAGCATACTCACTAATCTCTGCTTGAGACTTTCCCAAGGTTGCTCAACACAGTAAATAAAGCTAGCCACTTCAGAGAGCGTTCGAATGAAATAGCCAAATTCTGCTTTTTTAGGCGTTGTTCCAGGTTCTGAGGGTGATGTTTTCTCCGAGAAGATGCAGGCAACCTCGCAGAACTTCACCTTACACTTTTTGGTTGCAGCTGAAGTTACTGGCAATACGTCGTGACTGATCCATGTCACTGCAAGACCTCAGTTGAAAAAGTGTCTGCAAAGTGCTGTTACTTAGCAAAGAAATACACTAAAGAAGTAGATTTGTTTGTGTAAGCCCTAAGCAGTTGTTGGTTTGCTTTTTCTAGCGATCGTGATATTGCTAGCAGTATGAACGTGCTGCTGTTGTAAAATGCCAGTTCACCTGTACAGTCGAAGTCTACTGGAGAACTAGATTTTTTTACAGTTTTAAGGAAAGTTACTATAATACCCAGATTATGGTTCTGCCTTAAGTTTTTCAGTGTTTTGGTGATATTTCTCAGTGACTTAAATTAAAACTCCAAGGAAGTGGTAGAGGGAGAAGTGCAGGATGCTGCTGCTGCTGCATACTTCTCTTTTATTTTTTTTTTTCCTCTGGTAACTGAAGGTTAAATGAGTAGCAAGCAGAATGCCTTAAACAAGATTGGTATATTGATTAAAACGCTGATTTAACAGCTCGCTTTCTCCCTTTGGAAACCTGGAAAAGATAAGCCAGCTGCTGTCTAAGAGTGCTGAGTGTCCACTGAGAGTACACTATCTATCATCACAATATGGTGATGAGAGGTGTTTTATGTTTGTGTTAATTTCCCCCACTAAATCAGTAATTATTACAATCCTGTCCCTGCTGTTTACCCTGCAGCTGTTTTTCCATTTGTCGAGAGAGCGGGTGTTCTCAGAGGACCGCACACGCTTCTATGGTGCAGAAATTGTCTCTGCCCTGGACTATCTGCATTCTGGGAAGATTGTGTACCGTGATCTCAAGGTAAAAAAAAAAAAAAAGTAAAAAGAAAAAAGTAATCAAATTTTTGTTTTTGCAGAGGCTATTGGGACAAACACAAAGTAATTATAAAGTTTCACTATTCAGAGCTAATGGGGAAGAAAAAAATCAGTGCTCAGTTTAAAGTTCTGTGTGTGCTGAAGGAAGCTGTTTGATACTGTAATCTATAGATGGGTACATTAACTTGATTAAACAAAGAAACAGCATACCTTAGCAACAGTACTTGAAGGAGATTTAAACTTCTGATCCTTTTTTTCCCCCCCCCATTGCTTATAACCTAACTTGGATTTCAAAACAAATCTCAAATATAATTCTCAATTTCCCCAAACAAGGCAAAAGGGGAATTGGGACAATTGACTGCATTCTGTTTATCTCAAGAGTGAGCTCTTGTATAAGAGTTCTTGTATGATTTGAAAACATTTAAAACTATTCCGAATACTTCAATAGATATGAATTTCAGCCTTAATTTAAAAATTATTTTGTCTTTCGTATCTTGGGAAAGATTCATAATACTGGAATGTAATTTGTCTTGAATTCGCCTGCATGGACAGTTGTGTATCCTCTGTTGCCTGAAGCTGCAGGTACTCTGTGACACAGTATGATTAAGTTCGATGGAAAATAACCTCTGATCTCAACAGGGACATTTTCTAACAGATTCTATGATTCTAACTTATGTGGGAGGAACCTCTCACTTCCACAATGAGACTGTTTTATAATTTCTGTGACAAGCCTTTAATTTCTTGTAGGGGAAATTATGCTTTCCCATCATACATGTGCACTAGTGGAGTTCATTTGTGGGCTCCTTTGTGCAGGAACCAAGGAGAAGGAGGCGATGGTAGGCAAGTTCTCTCAGGGAGACAGGCAGAGAACAAAATACTGGGTTACCTGTTTGTAGCAAATCTGTTGTAATAACATGAAATGCTGTGACATCTTGGAAAAATAGGGAATTGTCTGGTCAACGAATGATAGGTCATGATTTTTGATTTAAATTATAAGTAATAAGGAAAGAAGAATTTGACGTCATTAATATCCTATCGCTGGTGTCATCTACTTTGCAGCTTCCGTGTGACACGTAGAGTCAACAGGAATGATATATCTCTGAATTGTATTTCAGGCTTCATGCAGACTTAGGAAGACAGGGCTACAATTGGTCTTTTGTTGGTATTTTCACTACACAACTTAGGGTTGGAAACAAAAAACTTCTTCTGAGAGAGGTTGTTCAGAAGTTTGTTTTACTTTTTTTTTTTCTTTTTTTTTTTCTTTTTTTTTTTTTTTAGTGCTACCTGTATTTAAAGTTTTGCTAATAAAAAGCTTTTGAGAAAGTGATGTTAGGCATGCTTTTGAGATGGTCCACAGTAAATATTGCAGTAGTTTTTATTCCTGTGCTTTAAATACTTTATAACAGGCTATATTCTGTTTTCACATTTCAAAGAATCATGTATTTAAAAAGCAGTGCAGGGCATTCAGAGGTAATCATACACAATTCAAGAACAGTGGCCTTTGCAAGTAAACAAGGAGGAATTTACCTCAGGTTTTTGTTTTTATCAGTAGCTTCTCTACCCCCACTTTTGTCTGTTATTGAAAAGGTTGTGGAAGATGTAGATAGTATATATCCATAAATCCTTAAAATGCTTCATGACAGTATAGTAAAAAGTGTCTTGATAAATGAAGGTCATGCTACAGCAAAGGAAATGGGTGAAGTCTTAACAAATGACATCCATGATTGTAACCTTGAGTTACTTGATTATATCTTGAGACTATTTAGAAAATTATTTTGGATACATGAAACTTGTAAAAATTCAGAATGAAATGTCACGCTTTGGTTGACCTGGGACTTATTATTGTAAATTATATAAAAGTATTAAATAATTATTTAGATTTCGTAACAGTAAACACTTAAATGCTGTGTAATAGATGCTGTTATTTTTTTTTTTAATTACAAACAGATTACATTCTATTGCAAGCAATAAATCCCAATCTTTTTTACAAAATTGATGTAATACATCAGCCTGTCCTGTTAAGAAATACTAAGGGAACATCTTTTTTCCCCAACACACAGTTAGAAAATCTAATGTTGGATAAAGATGGACACATAAAAATTACAGATTTTGGACTTTGCAAAGAAGGAATCACAGACGCAGCAACTATGAAAACATTCTGTGGTACTCCAGAATACCTGGCACCTGAGGTATGATTTAGAATATATTATTTTAATACAGTATAAAATATTTATTTTTAATTGAATTTTAGACTGTAATGTTTGTATGCTGAAAACCCTTCATTGTAGTAAAGAACTGGCAGTCTGCCAGATTAATACTATGCAGTTGTTATTCAGAACTGTATGTACTACTGTTCTTTGTAGTGATTGTATGTATGTTGATGCTGTACTTAAGTGTTTGAAAAGGCCTCCAACATGCATTTTCCTTCTTATGTTTGCCTTCCTCTGTTAAAGTTTTTATCTTCCAATGATTTCTTCAAAAATAATCTTCCATCTGTCTGTCACTTGGAACATATGATCCTACTTAACTGAGCTGTGTAACTAGCATTTATATAGACTGTGTGGAGGCGAGGGGGAATAGGAAGGTAGTGAGTTTGCTGGGTTTTATCCGAACTTCCCAATTGCAGGGAAAGGGAGCTGAAATTTAGGTATTTCTGCTAAAAACAGTTGAGTGCTAGAAACAGTTGAGTGTATCAACCTCAGAACTGGCTGTGGCGGGCACCAAAACTCAGCTGTTTCCTAGTATGTAAGCAGAAGTGGCATCCCAGAGTATGCCACCCCATCTTTACCGTTAGCGAGCACTTGGAGTGCCAAACATGATGCTTCTTGAGGATTGATAAACAGATGGACATGAGGACGTTGGTTTGGTTTCCTTCGCAGCTCTGGTTTGGCCACTTGAGCATCTGTTGTGGAAGCTCAAGTCAGCCAAGTGTTCTGCTCCAGTATTAGTGCTGACAGCTCTGCCACTGATGGCTACTGAATAAACGCAAGGGAAGCACTCCCAGAACTGTGGTTTTTGTCCCGTCTGGCTTCAGTCAACAGTTGTGGTGCTTGGAAGAGTCATCCTGCCTCTCCCTGGGGTTGCCAAACACAACTTCATTAGTGACATGAAAGGCAGCGTTATTTCTTTACTTAATTCAAGGATGCTGAAATTGCCCTTGTTTCCATTCTTGTCAGCATTCAACATTGCTAATTGACATAGTGCACACCTGTCGATGAGACAACTTTCTAGTCAGCCTAAAGGCCCTTCAGTCCTACCGTTTGTTTTAAGGAGGATTTGTCAAGGGATTCCCCACCTCTTACAGCAGCTCAGCACCACCAGAAAGTCACCTACGTATCAGCGTCGAAGAAGATGCCGTAGTTTGAAGGGAGGACGTGAGGAGGCCCTGATTCAGCATAGTTCTTTACCCTCTTATTTTCAGGAGTGTTGAATCCTGAGTAGCAGCAACAAGCCCTGGAGCCCATTTCAACAAGCAAGTTTAGATTGCCTTTCATTTGTTATTCTGAACCTTACAGTTAAGGCGTGTCAAGGAAGCTGGTACGCATCACCTTCTGGATACTGCTGGCTGCAGATGAAGATCTTAGAATGGTCGGATTTGAGAGTCTTTCTAAATCTCTTAAAGCAAATGTGAAGTCTTTGCTATTTTGCACTGGGTTTACCAGTGCATTGGCTGGTTAGTTGCTCACCTGAGACAATTGTATCTATTTTTATACCTTGGACAGCTGACTGATAAAGGGACCTTTAAGATACTGGGTCCTCAAGTCTATTCATGTGCATGTGTTAGAAAACGAGTGCGCAAAAATCCCTTCTTGTTGCAGTTCAGGCCACAGAAATCATTACCAGACGCCAAAGACTTACTACCTTTTGAGAAATGGCAGATCATGAGAACCTAATGTTACAGCTGGAATTTAATCCTGTTACCGCGGTGAATTCCTTCTTATGTATTCCAAGACAAATGGCAGCATATACTTACGTTTTGCCTTGTCGTGGTGAGTGTAAAGGCAGATACCTTTTAGCCTTTCTTTAGAAGCAAGATACTCTCCAGTTACATGGAGAAATCTATTCAGCATCTGTCCTTTTAATAGTACCCTTGCATCCTCCTCTTTCATCTAGGTCAGTTGTGATGGGTGCATCCCTTCTGCAGGCCTGTTGTTTGTTTCCTATATACTTGCTGGCTGGTGGTAGAGGACGCTAGGACAGTGTACTGTGTGACACGCAGGTTAGCCTGGGGTTGCTGTCTGCGAGCCAGGAGACAGTTGACCCAGGAGCTTTACACTGTCAGGAATTTATGCCTGGCCTGAGAAATGACTAAATCTTTTCTTTTGTATTAATTCAGTGTTGTGGATTCAGTTCCAAACAAGAACTTGGGCTTGGTTCTCCAAATGCTTGTTGGACCGTGGTTTGAGGCATAGAGTCCTGCTCACTGTTCCATCTTTTTGCAGAAACTAGATTGCAGTTGCTTCCAATAGGAATACAGGGAAGTAGCTAAGCTACAGTAAGGTGGATTTCTACCTTGCATGACATTTCTCTCAGGTGAAGGTGTCCTTATGGATCCATAGAGAATTACTTCCCAAGGTGATTTCAGAATTACACTTAATCAGAAAACAAGCATACGTGTTGCTGCATTTTCCCCACAAACCTTGTTTTTGAGATCAAAGTAGTCCTTCTCACCCTCTGTTGAAATGGCTCTTTCATCTCCCATTGACAGGGTCTGACCTTTCATGTAAGACGTGAGACTGACTGTGCTGATATCTGTTAGATCCATAAAAATGCCCCTGTCCGTGCAAAGATCAAATGGATGGTGGGCCACAGGAAAAAAAATCTAATGAGATTGCCAGGTTGGAGCCCACTTTCATCTTTGGGGCTAGAATGGCTTTTCTGGACCATCACTGATTTATCGTTTGTGGCACTCACCTGGAAGTTCGTGTACCTTCACCAATCAGTGTGCTGTTACAGTGGTGTGCAGGGCTTCCAGCTATGTGGTCCACAGCTAAGTTGCCTTCTTGTTGTCCTCTGCTAGTCATTCCCTGTTATCCAACAGCAGTATTCCACAGTTTAAAGAAAACTAAAAGAGCACTGACTGTGATTGTCTTAACGTAGTTTTGTGCCAGGCATAAAAAATGGTAGGGTATGAACATGTCCTCTAGGAAGAAAATAGTTGCCACTGACAAATAGCTGGGCTCATGCATGTTTACAGTACAGATGTGCGTATCGGTCACAATTACTGAAGAATGAGGAAGTAACTTTTTATTTGTAAAATTATACAGTCTTTTGAGAATAATTCGGCTATGTGATAGTAAAATTCCTTTATCATCTGCAGTAGACCTAATGCAAGCCTTATTTTTTGTGTGTGTGTAAGGGTATTGGTAATACTTAATATTTCCCTCTGCTCTAAGCATCTTCGTTATTTCTCATTTGAAAGGTAAAAAATATTTTAGAATATCTCATTTCTTAGTAGATTTTCAGGAAGAAGAGACTGTTTCTTAGGAGTCTGTTTCCATTGTTATCCTTCAAAGTAAGCTGTTGCATTAGAGATCATTGTGGTGTCAGAGAATAAACATAGATCCAATGAGGAAAAGATGAATGATGATCCCATTTAGGAAACACAGATGTGTTCTTCATTTTTTTCAGAAAAAAACCACAAAATGTTTCTTTTGTGGTTTTGCAGTGGCAAAAGCGGGACAGGACCATATGTTTTTTCCAGACAGTATCACTTGCTTAATAAAGAAAGAATAAAACTGAGAAAGTACTTGTACTTGTAAATATACCTGTGAGACATTTAAAAGCAGTTTGGGTTTTGATAGTTTTCAGTTGATCATGAAGGATCAAAGACCTGTACAGACTTCCTTTAATAGAACATTCAGGAAATGAAGCTACTTGGGCAGAGAAATAAAAGTTCTTGCAGCTCTGATCATTTGTGAGGGTAACTTCTTACATGAGATTGCAGTTTCTGGCTGCCTGCATTTTAGTTCAAGTTCTTTGGACTTAGTTATAGTAAGGCAGTCACTGTGGTACTAAGTTTTGGTGTCACGGGAGATGCAAATTTAAATACCAGAAATTAATTTCGAAGCTTTTGGTCTTTCTAATAGCAGATGAGAGGGTGTTTTGGCTGTGAGGAAGTCTGTAAGGGACTTCATGGATGATGATTCAAATTACTCTTCATAGATCTAGAAGATCAATTGTCTTTAGGTGTATTCTAATAACAGGGGAAATGGTAGAACCTCGTTAAGTTCTATTAGCATAAAAGTTCAGACTAGATGGATGAATGCATTTCGATATCATTTATGCAGTTACTTAAAGTTATGTGACAGTAAATAAAACCGGAGCAGATTTCATAGCCTTTTTCCATAGACATGACTAAATCTGCATGTCTTATAACTTATTTTAAAGTGAGACCAATGGAGATGAAGGAAATATTAAGATCAGTTACACAGTGCTTGTTTGAAATATTGTTTTTCTTTTTTTGGTGATTTTTCTTTTAGAAATGTGAGCGAGAGAGATCATGTGCAATCAATTATTTCCCTGAGTTTTATCTCAGAGAAATGAAAGGTAAAACTTCTTTATCAAGAAGAAACTGCTGTCTTTCCTCACTCATCACTTAATTTCCTAATTTCCTACTTCCAGCTTTTCTTTTTGGGGAGGATATGGCATTGGTGTAGAGGTGACCCAAAATCTAGGACTTGGCCATCGAATTTCAGTGGCTGAATTCCCGCAAGGGGAAGCATGGTACCCTGTACTGCAGGCAAGGTTATTGCAAGAAAAAAACATTTTCACGTGTTCACAGGAACTGAAGTTGAAATTTCTAAGAATGTTGTAGTATATGCAGATTATAAAATGTTGCGGTGGAGGCAGAAAAAGCATTTTGTCACTGGTGCAGCTATACCTGTATTCCATTCTTTTAACACTTGCTTTTATTGGATCAGGATATTTGCCAAAGGCAGTCTGGTAAGATTTTGAACTGAGAATACAATGATCTGTCACACAGCTCGTCTGATACGAGTTGAAGGCAGAGAGGGAACCACTGAAATGCACTGAGACAGGCTAGCATGGAAATCGATGTATTCAGTTCTTGCAGGCATCATAGCAAAGCAGTGTTTTAAACAGGGATTTTAATGCAGATAGAAACTGAAATGTGAATGTTACAGGGGAGCTTCAGGTGTGGGGAAAAGCATGACAGTGCTTGTTCATA